AAAAAAAAAAAAAAAAAAAAAAAAAAAAAAAAAAAAAAAAAAAAAAAAAAAAAAAAAAAGTAGAGGGAAGCTGTTAATTCATTTTTAAGAAAAACAAAACAAAACAAAACCCAAAGTCTATGTGAAGGAGGTGTTCGGATAAATGCAAATGGGAAAGAATGTAACTGAGGTAAAATATCAGCATGCCTATCCAGCCTGACTCATAGGCACGGTGGCACAAACACAAAGGGCGGCACGAGGCCTGAGGTGCCAGGCCTGAATGGCACTCACTTGCAGCTTCCTTCACTCTAACTGCACACTCACCGAGCAGCCTGTCAGCCTTGGCTCTGTGAACCCAGAAAATATGACAGGTCTCAGTTAATTTAGAAAGTTTATTTTGCCAAGGTTGAGGTCGTGCCCCTGCCATTTACTTATTATCTTTTTTGCTGAGGAATTATATATTTCAATGACGTGCATAGATCATAAGTAGACAATTTGATGAATTTTGAAAAATCTATAAGCCCATGTAACCAACACCTCAGTCAAGATAAAGATCATTTCCATCACTCTAGAGAGTTCCCTAGTCTCTTTTTAGCCAATCTCCCTCTCCCCAACCCCGAGGCAAACACTTTTCTGGTTCCATCTCCAGGACTAGTTTTGCCTGTCTGTGGACTTCATTAGTGGCATCATACAGTGTTCACTCTTTTGCTCAACATTGTCTTTGATATCCATCCATGCGACTGCAGGTCCCTTTTTAAATTTGTGAGTAGTAATCATCCATTCTCCTGGAGATGTGTGTTTGGGACATTCACACTGGGGACTCTTCAGGCAACAGCGGCTGTGGATACTCCCTCACAGGTCTTTAGTAGACATGCAGTTTCCTGGGTACAACTTTGGAGACTGCGGGAGGGAAAATCAAAGCTATATGTGCTGTGTGCTGTGCAGTCCTCACCTTGTTCACCTGTGACTGAGACAAGGATGAAGGGGCAGATGCTGAGGAAGGTGAGCATGATGATCAGCTTGACACAGGTGTTGCCCGCGTTATTGAAAGAGAAGCTGACCAAGTAGACGAAGGGGATGATAGCGGAGCCATAGAGCATTAACAGCAGGATAACAGCCAGGACATTTTCATTGTGTGTATAAGCTTCCTCACGATAGTATAAAAACACCACCTTAGGAGGGGCAGGGGAAGAATTTGGAAAAGTCATTAACAGTCAATCCTAAACACTGGAGAAAGAATATCAGAATCTCAATTTTAAAAGTAAGGTGTTAGCAATACTGAGTGGGCACTTCCCTTCTACTCATCTGCACATGCAGAGATGAGCAAGCCCTAAACCCTGTTCTCCGGGAGCTGCCCTGGAAATCAGTGGTGCAGTGTAGTGCGATAAGGGGCTCGGAGATGCTCACAAAACACAGGCAGAACAAAGCATGAAGTGGTCCATTCTGCATAAAATAACCAGGGGGCCACAATTAAGTACTTCAGCCCGTCAGTACCCTGGTGAGGTATTTCTGGACAATAAACATATGTCCCCAAAGTACTGCTCCTTACTAGCTTGAAGAAGAAACTCTTGAGGGGGCCACATAGAGACCCCAAAGCAGGTCCCTCTGCTCCTAACAAAGCTGGGAACTTGAGTCTTCTACCAAGGGTCAGTGATGACGAAGATCTCACACCCTGGGTCCCCACTGGGGGCAGAATTGCCAACCTAGGCTTCCCAGTTGGTTCTGGCTCTATGCAGGGGTCCCCAGGAGAAACCCTCGACCATATGCAGCTGAAGGATCCTGGCACCCTCCAGCACTCACCAACAGCAGCAGACTGGGGATGAGGAAGGAGATGAGGTCCCACAGCAGAGCGGAGAGCCAGAAAATGGCCACATAAGCTCCACTGATAAACTGGACATGCTTGGCCTTAACAAGCCTCTCTCTAACTGTCAACATGGAAAAAGAGCTAGACAGGAAAGCTAATCCAAAAAGCAAGTTGATAACAAGGTAATGTCCTTTAGGGCCCCTGTAAAAGACAGGACATAAGGTGAGATGTAGCAGAGTAAGTGGAACTGCTAATAGCAACCATCTTCCAAATAACAATTTGCAATTAAAACAAGAAGCAAAGACAGGCAGAAATAGGTGGAAAACGGTGGAGACCTACAGAGGTGTAGATGGAGAGAAGAAAATTCACACATACTGATACCACAAATTCTCCTCCTCCTTCACAAATGTCGGAGGTTGAGGGTGGTTGGATACGGTAATGGAAGCCCCGGCACCAGAAAGCAACTTGAAGAGAAAATTGTCCACCAGTGCCAGAGCCAGGGCAGAAGCATGGTACGCCTGGTTGTTGAACAGCGCTGTCACTATGGTGTGATTTCCCACGTCTTCAAAGGAAGCTGCCACTAAGTAGAGCTTATCAAAGTCCCCAGGTTCCTCTTTTGATTTTTTCAATAGGAACTCTTCTACAGAACCTAGAAGGGAGCAAAATATCCACCAGGCAGTAAGAACAAGCATCACACCAGGCCCAGTGGGGTGGGGAGAACTCACCATCGGTCTCTGGCAACCTGCTGCTTCTCCTAGGTATTTCATCGCTAACCCCCACCCACCTCTGAAAGCAGGCCTCCTCTCACCACACCCTGCCCTGGAATTCCAGTCAATTTTGGAGTATTGTCCATTTTTCCTTTATTTTATTTATTTATTCATATTTTTAGAGAAGGAGCCTTTCTCTGTTCCCTAGGCTGGAGGGCAGTGATGTGATCATCGCTCACTGCAGACCTGACCTCCTGGACTGAAGTGATCCTCCTGCCTCAGCCTCCCAAAGTGTTGAGATTACAGGTATAAGCCACTGTGCCTGGCTCTATTAACCTTTTAAGTTTCTTCAAATTGTCTGCTTCTCTCCTTCCCACTGTCTTGACTGGGTCTGGATCTCATCATCTGTACCTGGCTTATGTAACCCCCAGTGAAGATCTTGCCTTCTTTTTTTTGGAAACAGAGTCTTACCTGTTGCCCAGGCTGGAGAGCAGTGGCAGGATCTTGGCTTACTGCAGCCTCTGCCTCCCAGGTTCAATTGATTCTTCTGCCTCAGCCTCCCAAATAACTGGGACCATAGGCACGTGCCAGCACGCCTGGCTAATTTTTGTATTTTTAGTAGAGATGGGGGTTTCACCATTTTGGCCAGGCTGGTCTTGAACTCCTGGCCTTAAGTGATCTACCCACCTCAGCTTCCCGAACTTCTAGGATTACAGGCATGAGACACTGTACCCGGCCAGATTTGTATTCTATCTGGTACCTCCAGTCTGATTGAAAGGACACATTTGGCCATAATGCACCCCACCAAACAACTTGCAGTGGCTCTCCACTGCCCTCACAACAAAAGCCAAATTCCTGCACGAGGTACAGAGCCCATCGCTATCCAAATTCAGCCCATCACTATGCTTAGCTCCAGCCAAACCTAAGGATTTACAGTGCCCCATGCTTACAAATGCTCCTCTTGTTGTTCGGAATGGTCTCTGGGTTACTTTTCCCTTCCATCAGTCAACGCCTACTCATACCTTGGGCTCTCACTCGGGAGCCTACTCTGACCCTCCACGGCTGACACATGTTCGTGTAATTCCACAGCATTCCAACTGCAGTCACTGTCACTTTGTGTTGTAGCTGTCATTTATGCATAAGATCTCCTTGAGGGCTGGTAATGATGCTGTTTGTTGTATTCTAAGCATACGGTGCCAAGTCAAATTCAAATATACAACCCACCTAGAGTCCAGAAATCTAAACTCTTTAGTGCTGAAGGGACCTTCAATCACAATGACAAAAACAACAGTGCCAGTGCCACTGGCTGAGTGCTCACATGGTGCACCTGTGCAAAGCGCTTGACAAGCACTCAGGAAATCACCCAACGATGCTGCGAGGTGAGGTCTGTCATTCTCCCCATTTGGAATATGAAGAAACCAGGGCCTAGAGAGGCAGGGTGTTATGATGCCAACTATTTTGACACATCATGTTCTGCACTTGAAATCTTTCTTTTAAAAAAGTAATTATTTTAAAATGTTAATCAAAATAATGCATGAATATAATTTTTAAATTCAAATAGTTATACAAGAAACAGCTGTGCTCTTCCCTAGCCCTGATCCTCCCCAATGCCCATTCACCAGAAGCAACCCCTTTCACATCTTTTACCGGCTGTTTCTCCACGTTGCTAAACAGCACATTGAGCTGATGATGTCTCACAATGGAAGCAAGGATTTTGTTCTCTTACCACCATCCTCTCGTACAGCCCTACAGATTTCCCCTTACCTTCCTCTCACTAGAGTTACATCATAATTTTGGCTAAAACAATAGTCAGTTTTGACATTATTATGACTAAGTAAAAATTATTACAACTGAAGCAAGTAGTATGTTTTGTTGTACAACTTTCCCCTTGAAGTTAATAATGTTCTCCTTTTCTCATTTGCCTAATTTTCTTTATGTCTGTCACCACGTCATGCATAAACTCTCTTGAAAGAAGTGGAGATCTCATCCAGTCATGGTGGCTCACACCTGTAATCGCAGCACTTTGGGAGGCTGAGGTGGGTGAATCATGAGGTCAGGAGTTCAAGACCAGCCTGGTCAATATGGTGAAACCCCATTTCTACTGAAAATACAAAAATTAGTTGGGTGTGGTGTCGGTCACCTGTAGTACTAGCTACTTGGGAGGCTGAGGCAGAAGAACTGCTTGAACCCAGGAAGCGGAGGTTGCAGTGAGCCGTGATCACACCATTGCACTCCAGCCTGGGCATCAGAGCAAGACTCCATCACACACACACACACACACACACACACACACACACACACCCAAAACCCCTACAATTTTATTTTGGGGCATGCTTTCATTCCTAGAAAGGCACATACTTGGTCTTATTTCTAGGGACTCTACCTTTCCTGTCATTTGAGGTTTGAGATATGGTTTTCTGAGATTTCTATTTATTTCTAACTTCAGAGAGCACCATGCGGCCCAGCAGCACATGGCTTCAATAAAAACAACAATAGGGTGGTTTCATGCCCCATTTTCCTGGGCCTGGTACTTACCCAGAACCTCCAGAGGAATCTGTCCCTCAGCCGTAAGCATATTTGCAAAGCGTTCTGAAAGTTGAGGATCCAGCCTGGAATTCTGAGAAATAAAGAAAGGAACAATGGTCTGACCATATGTTTTCAGAGTCAGCTCCAATGGGACATTTTCCGTGATTCTTTCTTTGAAGTTGAAGAACATGAGGCTTAACATGGTGATCACCAGAGGGACCACGATCTGTATTGATAACATCAACATCCAGTTGCGCCAAGAATATGTGGCCTTTTTCAGGAGCATGGCATAAAATTGTTGGCAGAGAAGACTGAACTACAATAAAAAAAAAAACAAAAGAGAAACACAGCATTAACATGGTCACAGATGGAAGCTGGAGACACTGAAGTGGCCCCTGGCTCCTGCCCACTTGCACTCCCTAATACTACGTATAACTAACTTTTCAATATGTTCAAAATTTGCTTCAAGTTAAAACTCTTTGAACTTAAGATTTTTTTCTTTTTTGGGATGGGGTCTCACTCTGTTACCCAGGCTGGAGGGCAGTGGTATGATCTTGGCTCACTGCAGCCTTGACCTCCTGGGCTCAAGCAATCCTTCTGCCTCAGCCTCCCTAGTAGCTGGGACTACAGGTGTGCACCACCATGTCTGGCTAATTTTTTAAATCTTTTTTAGAGATGGGGTCTTGTTTTGCCTCCTGTATGAGACAGGTGGCTGACCTAGTTGACTCCAAGACCTTTCCCAACTTGGAGAGTCAGTGGATGACAGCTTCCCTGTAATTGTGTGATTCAAGGTTATAAAACAATAAGTTACTATCTTGACTAATCCACGAAAGTCAGTTTTATTTTACATTAATACTTGTGTATAGCTAATCAAGAACACTTCATAAAATGCACATCAATATTCTTTTTCTTTTTTTTAAGACAGAGTCTTGCTCTTGTTGCCCAGGCTGGAGCCTCCGCTCACTGTCACTGTGACCTCCGCCTCCGGGGTTCAAGTGATTCTCTTGCCTCAGCCTCCTGAGCAGCTGGGATTACAGGCACCCACCACCATGCCCAGCTATTTATTTATTTGTTTTTTTGTTTAGACAGGGTTTCACCATGTTGCCCAGGCCGGTCTTGCATTCCTGACCTCAGATGATCCACTCACCTTAGCCTCCCAAAGTGCTGGGATTACAGGTGTGAGCCACCATGCCCAGCACAATATCCTTTTTTCAACATTAAAGGAATATTACAGGTTGTCCATACATTTAATAAAGATATATTTTTAAAAGTTTTAAATTCCAAGCGATACATGACTTGTTTCACAGTGAAAGATATACGCTTTCTGGCCAGCAGATTTAGCACTTTTATTCTGTCTTCTTCCTGGTCAGAGGAATGGCCAAAACCTCTCTTATAATCTTTTATGATCCTTTCCTATACTGGGTTATTCCTGTCCAGACCATCACCCTTTGCCTTTGAACTACAGCAGAGACTGTGATAGTGCTCAAACTGGCACGGCCAATCTTTTATACCTAGAATGTGCATATTTTTTCTTAAGCTTCTATAAAAGGCTGACGTAACTTATTGACAGAAAGAGAGTGTATTTCCAAGAATTAAACCATTATGTGTTTTCTTGCATGCATTTGGAACTTGTGACTTACCCCAGTGTTTGGTTTGATTGGCAGCCCAGTCTGCACTGAGAAGATCCTTGAATGAAGTTGTTTAATTCTGTCAACAGGAATTCTGCTAAGCAGGGGCTGGGGATGGATAGAGGGACGTCTGATGTTTGGGATGATAGCTGTACTGGCATCTGCCAACATACAAACCCTAAACCAAACCAAAAGCAAAAACAAATAGAAACTCTCAAAACCACAGCACATTTCATTTGAATGTGAAGAATGAAAGTAATATGGTATTTGAAAAAAAAATAAGTTAGGATAAGAATAAAGAAGAATAAAAGCTGTATCTAGATTATACATAATGGGTAGCAAGTAGATACTGGCTATAACAGGCTAGCAAGGTCTTAATAAGTCCTAAGTACTGAGTTAACAAACCAATAACTTTCCAAATAACTGAGGTAATGCCAGTATGAATAGATTGTTGTCATTTTCCCTAAAAGAGTCCACGTGCAAATTAAAACAAAATGATGTATCATTTAATATCTATTTCATTAGCAAAACTGAAAATTATAAAACACAGCCCTGCTGAGACTCTAGGCCACGGATTGGTAAACAATCAATGGATAGGCCAAGGGATTCTGAGTTCAGAATGAAGTATGCTTCATTCTGATCTATATATATATATCATATTTATGCTATCCAGGTTTAACAGCATAATCAAGGATATCATATTATTATATAACCATCTAACATAACCATAAACATTGAAACACACATATATAATATATGTGTGTGTGTGTGTGTGTGTGTGTGTGTGTGTGTGTGTGTGTAGTATATACTGGCTATAAGCTGGCCAGTATAGTCTTAAATAAGTTCCAAGTATTGAGTTAACTTAAACAATGTGTGTGTGTATGTATGTACAGTACATATAGTATATATACACTAATATATATATGTGTATATATATACACACATATTAGTATATATAGTTTACATACAGTTAGTGTGTGTATGTATGTAAATGTATGTAAACTATATATACTAAATGTATGTAAACTATATATACCAATATGTGTATATATACACACATTATATATACATGCTACATATATATGCACTTGTGTGTATATAGATACTATATATACATTTACAGTGTATATATAAGTATAGATGATCATATATATGTATATATCGTATATTGTGTGTGTGTACACGCACACACACTCTTAAAAAAAATAGAGATTGGATCTCACTTTGTTGCCCAGGCTGGATTTCAGTGGTGATCACAGCTCACGGCTGCCTCAAAGAAATAGACACGTTTATTTTAAAATTTACATGATAATGTGAAGGATCTACAGTATCCAAAACAATCTTCAAGAAATAGAACAAAGCTGGAAGAACTATATACTACCTGACTTCAAGACATACTACAAAGCCACAGGAATCTCAGCAGTGTAGTACTGGCACAGGAGAGACAAACAGATCAATGAAACAGAAGAGGGAATGTAGAGACGTACAGTCAACTGATTTTTGGTGAAGGCATCAGAACAACTCAACGTGGAAAAAAAAGTCTTTGCAACAAATAGTCTGTCTCATCTGGCTACTTACATAGAAGAAAATGAGCCTCAAGCCCTGTGATAAAACAACAGATCACAGGGGTTGAGGTGGTGACATCATTCTGTCACAGGGGTCAATAAAAAATGTTTTCTTTCATAGTTCCTGGCTAATAACTCCCATAGCTATTATTTCTCCCCAAGGCAGGCCACAGAAACTAAAAATATAATCTTCCCCCATCTTTCTGTCTTGGAGCTGGCCTTAAAGAATTATCTCGTCTGACTGCAGGTCATGAGACCGCCCCACCATTTTAGAAGGTGTACTATCCCATACCCTGGGGAAAGGAGTACTGCAGAGAGGCCAGGAAGGATCTGAACAAGCAGGGCTTGCTGGGTTGCCCCAGGCAGACTGCTAGTATTACACAGCGCTCTTTTTGACCAGTCTCATGTCTACACAGTTGTCCATGCTTCAGTCATGCCTATCCAATGAAGTCCCCATAAAAGGCCCAAGAGGAGCTTCCAGATAGGTGAACAGTTGAAGGTTCCTGGAGGGTGTCACACCCGGGGAGGCCACCAAGGCTTCATGCCCCTTCCCATATACCTTCCCCTATGTGTCTCTTCTTCTCTATTCTTTGTAATATCCTTGTAGTAAACTGGGAAATGGGTTTCCCTGAGTTCTGTGAGCCACTTTAGCAAATTCATTGTACCTAAGGAGTGGGTAGTAGGATCCCTAGTTTACAGCTGGTCAGTCAGAAGCACAGGAAGTGTTTAATAGCTAACACCTGTAATCCCAGCAACTCAGGAGGCTGAGGCAGGAGGATCACTTAAGCCCAGCTCAAAAGACAGAGACTAGCCTGAGCAACATAGTGAGGCCTCCTCAATTGAAAGAAAAAAAAAATGGATAGGTGAAACAACCCAGGGCTTGTGATTGACACTGCAAGTGGGAAGTCTTGTGAGATGTAGCCTTCAATCTGTGGGGTCTGATGCTATCTCCAAATACTTGAGAACTGAATTGGAGGACATGCAGCTGGTGTCTGCTGCAGAACTGATTGCTTGCCTGTTGTTAGGGGGAAATTCCCACACATTGTAATCACAGGAGTCTTCTGTGTTGACTGCTGTGATGTGAGAGCAGAAAAAAAACAGTGTATGTTTTTCCACTTAACCTCTTATCAAACTGTACACAAGTCTAGGCACCATGGCTCACGCCTATAATCCCAACACTTTGGAAAGGCGAGGTGAGAAGGTTGCTTGAGCCCAGGAGTTCCAGATCAGCCTGGGCAATATAGCAAGGCTCTGTCTCTACAAAATATAAAAAACTTAGCTGGGGGTGGTGGTGTGTGCCTTAGTCCCAGCTACTTGGGAAGCTGAGGTGGGAGGAACGCTTAAGCCCAGGAGGTGGAGGCTGCAGTGAGCTGTGATCACACCACTGCACTCCAGCCTGGGTGACAGAGTGAGACCTTGTCTTGCACGTACACACACACACATACACACACACACACACACACACAGCCATACCCCAAAATTAATAGAAAATGTGTTACAGGACTATGTAAAAGCTAAAATGATAAAATTCCTTGAATAAAAGGCAGGAGCATAACTTTGTGATCTAAGGGTAGGGGCATATTTTTTAGAAAGAATACAGAGCACAGTAACAAAAAAATTTAGGGGCTGAGCATGGTGGTTCACACCTGTAATTGCAGCACTTTGGGAGGCTGAGGCGGGCGGATGACCTGATGTCAGGAGTTTGAGACCAGCCTGGCCAAGATGGTGAAACCCCATCTCCACTAAAATACAAAAATTAACCGGGTGTGGTGGCACGCACCTGTAGTCTCAGCTACTCCAGAAGCTGAGGCAGGGGAATCCCTTGAACCCAGGAGACGGAGGTTGCAGGGAGCCGAGACTGCGCCACTGCATTCCAGCCTAGCAACAGACTGAGACTCCGTCTCAAAAAAAAAAATTTAGAAATTAGCCTTTATAAAAATGAAAAACTTCTAATCAAAAGCTACCACTAAGCTGGGTGCAGTGGTTCATGCCTGTAATCCCAGAGGCCAAGGCAGGTGGATCACTTGAGGTCAGGAGTTTGAGACCAGCCTGGCCAACATGGTGAAACTCTGTCTTTACTAAAAATAAAAAAAATTAGCCAGGCATGGTAGCACATGTTTGTAATCACAACTATGTGGGAGGCTAAGACAGGAGAATCACTTGAACCCAGGCCAGTCAGTGGAGGTCGCGGTGAGCCAAGATTGGGCCACTGCACTCCAGCCTGGGTGACAGAGTGAGACGGTGTCTCAAAAAAAAAAAAAAAAGCTATCCCTAAGAATATAAAGAAGCAAGGCACATAATGGAAGAAAATATAGATAAAACACATATTTGACAAAATAATTATATCTAGAATATATAAAAATTTCAACAACTTGGCCCAGGACAGTGGCTCATGCCTGTAATCCAACCATTTTGGCAGGCCAAGGTGGGCGGATCGCCTGAGGTCAGGAGTTCAGGACCAGCCTGGCCAACATGGTGAAACCCCTTCTCTACTAAAGATACAGAAACTAGCTGGGCATGGTGGCACACGCCTGTAATCCCAGTTACTTGTGAGGCTGAGGCAGGAGAATTGCTTGAAACTGGAAGGCAGAGGTTGCAGTGAGCCAAGATCACACCTCTGCACTCCAGCCTGGGCAACAGAGCAAGATTCTGTCTCAAAATAACAAAAACAACAAAATTTCAAAAACTCAAAAATGAAAACTGAGCTGCAGGTTTAATGATTGCACACCTTTTGGTATGTATGTTATACTTCAATAAAAATGTAAGCATTTTAAAAACTAGCTGTGTCCAGTGGCTCATGCCTGTAATCTCAGCACTTTGGGAGGCTAAGGCAGGAGATCACTTGAGCCTAGGAGTTCAAGGTCATAATGAGACCTCGTCTCTACAAAAAAAAAAACGAAAAAAAACCCATAAAATACTCTCAATGGAAGTATTTAGCTGAAGATCAGAAACACCTGTAGAGAGAATCAAAGACATGGATGTGGATCAGGAGATATTGTGTAGAGTGCAACTCAGAGAGACAGAGAGTTGGAAAATATTTAAAAAGTTAAAATTCAGCTGGGCATGGTGGCTCACGACTATAATACCAGCATTTTGGGAGGCCGAGGCAGGTGGATCACGAGGTTAGGAGTTCAAGACCAGCTTGGCCAACATAGTGAAACCCCATCTCTACTAAAAATACAAAAAATTAGCGGGGTGTGGTAGCAGGTCGTGTAATCCCAGCTACTTGGGAGGCTGAGGCAGGAGAATCACTTGAATCTGGGAAGTGGAGTTTGCAGTGAGCAGAGATTTCACCGCTGCACTCCAGCCTGGGCAATGGTGTGAGACTCCATCTCAAAACAAAACAAAAGTTCAAAAGTTCACATAGTAGAGTTGATCAGATCTAATATGTCTAATTGGAGTTCCAGAACGAGAGGAGATGTTTGAGCAGAGGCCCTGTGTGAAGAGATAACAATAGCCAGGGATTCTTTTTTTTTTCTTTGAGACTTGCTCTGTCACCCAGGCTGGAGTGCAATGCCACACTCTCAGCTCCCACAACCTCCGCCTCTTGGGTTCAAGTGATTCTCCTGCCTTAACCTCCCAAGTAGCTGGTATTACAGGTGCATGACACCATGCCCGGCTAATTTTTGTATTTTTAGTAGAGACGGGGTTCCACCATGTTGGTCAGGCTGGTCTTGAACTCCTGACCTCGTGATCCATCCACCTCGGCCTCTCAAAGTGCTGGGATTAGAGACATGAACCACTGCACCTGGCTGGGGAGCCTAAACTCATGGAAGATGTCTATAGGCAGACACCAATCAAATCTCAAGTCAAATATGCATGTATCAAAATATCACATGTATTCCATACATACGCACATTATGTATCAATAAAATTTGTTTAAAGGCCAGGTACAGTGGCTCATGCCTGTAATCCCAGCACTTTGGGAGGCTGAGGTGGGTGGATCCCTAGAGGTCAGGAGCTCGAGACCAGTCTGGTCAACATGGAGAATCCCCAACTCTACTAAGAATACAAAAATTACCTGTAATCCCAGGCACTTTGGGAGGTCAAGGCAGGCAAATCACTTGAGGTCACAAATCACAGGCTGGGAGTTTGAGACCAGCCTGGCCAAAATGGTGAAATATCGTCCCTACTAAAAATATAAAAATTAGTTGGGTGTGGTGCCAGGCACCTGAAGTTCCAGCTACCAGCTACTCGGGAAGCTGAGGCAGGAGAATTGCTTGAACCTGGGATGCAGAGGCTGCAGTGAGCTGAGATGGCACCACCGCACTCCAGCCTGGGCGACAGAGGAAGACTTTGTCTCAAAAATAAATAAATACATAAAAATAAATAAATAAAAATTAGCCAGGCATGGTGGCACATGCCTGTAGTTCCAGCTACTCAGGAGGCTGAGGCAGAAGAATCACCTGAACCCAAGAGGCAGAGGTTACAGTGAGCTGACATCTCACCACTGCACTTCACTCTAGACAACAGATTGAGACTCTGTCTCCAAAAAAATTTTTTTGTTTAAATTTACGTAGACTGGAAAGACTGGTAGAAAATATCAAATAAAGTAACAGATATAAATTTGAATATATTATAAATACTTGTAAATAGACTAGGTGTTCCAGTTAAAAGACAAAGATTGCCCTACTGGATAAAGTACCTTTTCTCATCACCATTCTCTAGCCGGGCGCAGCCTCCCAGGTAGTATACCTTCAGTGTTCCATCAAAGCTGACCTAGAATTGAGCCTGTGTGCCTGCTTCATGATACTAAGACTATTTGGTGGCTGAATCTGCAAACCCTCGAGCTGCCCCATCTGGGGAATTCTTTTTAAATAAAATAATAAATCTTCTTTATTGTTTAAACCTGCTGAGTTGGGATTATCTGTTATTTGCAGGCTAAACCATCTCAAATGATACAATATCTTTTTCTGTTTTTCATTCCTAGACATTTCTGCTAAAATTATGATTGTCAAATGATATTATTCAGCAATATATCTGTTGCCTGAGGAAGGCAGACGGCTTGAGGTTGGGAATTTGAGACCAGCCTGGACAACATGGTGAAACCTTGTCTCTACTAAATATGCAAAAATTAGTCAGGTGTGGTGCCAGGCGCCCATAGTCCCAGCTACTCCGGTGTCTGAGGCAAGAGAATTGCTTGAACCTGGGATGCAGAGGTTGCAGTGAGCCGAGATTCAGGTATTCCTGTTACTGGAAGTACAAGTCAGAGGCTGGAAGGCCATTCAGTGAGGTTGCTACAGAAAAGATTCAAGCATCAAGCAATGTTTAGAGAGATGACCTTTAAAATCGCTTCTGACCCTAAGAAGCTCAGAGTCTTACAGTTTTATACGTGCTTACCTTATGAAGACATCCTCCATGGTGGTGACAGACACCCCAAAGCTGGAGATGCCCAGCTCTACCTGCCTCAGTTCCAAGTCAGTAAATAGAGATTCAAACCTGGAAGAAAATAACTGGTTTTACTCCTGAAAGGTGTAAGGTGAATCCCTTTTATCACTGCCCTTGGCTCTCTACTGGGAAAAAGCGCAGGCTTTGGAGTCAAGAAGATATTTGTTCAAATATCAGCTTTGTCAGAAGCTTTATAACTATATGAACTTGAACACTGGGGGTAATAGCATGTACTCTGGAAGTTTCCTGTAAGGATTAACCTAAAACACATCTACCATGTCACACTGGCAAAGTAATGATTGACTCATTTTTGGTTTTAAGTCAGTTACAAGAAATGCCCTGAGTAGAAAAAGTAAACAATTTTTGGAACACTTACTAAATGTCAGGGGCCCTTCACAGCTCTTCTACCTATTAACTCTGAGGATGCTTTCAACAGCTATTTTAGGACAGTGCTGAGAAGTTAAGAAACTTCCCTGAGACCACGCAGCCAAAAGTAGCAGAGCCAGGAGTCAAGCTCAGGCCTTCCACCTCCAGAGAGAGTGATTTTAATTGTTATCTAAGTGAGGAAAGGAACTAATTCTTACTAGTCTGCTAATGTTGAAACCTTTCTCAAACATGCTTTCCATTTTTTTTGGAATTAAATGAATTGTGGCTTTTTGTGTGATATTAAGAAATCCATCATAATCTTCTACAATGAAGGTTTCTATTCTCTCACAACCTAGTGTCCAACTTTTAAGAAATCAGAGACACACGCCAGATGCCTATATGAGGTCTGCAGGGTTTTGTGTGTGTCCCTGTGGGCAGACAATGGTTATAAACTAATCATGGCTGGGTTTCAGTCTAGACTCTGTCACTTACAGGTTTTGTGACTTTGAGCTACTTATTTCACCTTTCCAAATCTTTCCTCACCTGCAAGACAGATATTACTTAATTCAAAAAGTTGTTGTAAGGATTGAGAAAAATGTAAAGACACCTAGCAAAGTAGCCAGCCTGTGGTAAATATTCAGCAAATACTATTTACTGAATATGATCAACGGTCATAGCCTCAGTATGTTCACTATCTTGCTCTTCACTCAGTTTCCAGTTACTGAAATTGTACTCATGCTATTGCTACTGTCTTGCCAACAAGGTAAGAGTATCCCTTTTAAAAAATTGAGGCAAAATTTATGTAAAGTATCTTGTTCTTAAGTGTACAGTTTGATGAGTTTTGACAAATGTGTAATCTCACCCTAATCAAGACACAGAACATTCCATCACCATAGAAATGCCCCATGTCCCCTTTGATGAGTCCCTCTTTTGCTCTCAGACAACCAACTGTCCTGTATTTTAGAATAGTTTTGCTTCTTCTTCCTTTTCATGTAAATGGAATCATATGGTCTTTTCATCGTTTGCTTCATCCATGCAACATGTTTTTGAGGTTCAACCATGTTGTTACATGCATTAGCTCATTCTTGTTCATTGCATAGTGGCATTCAACAAAAGGAATATATCTATTCTTCTGTTGACAGACATTTGGATTGTTCCCGTGTAAGGATGCCTATGAATAAAGCGGCTATAAATGTTCTTCTATGTGGCCTGTGTCTGGACATATGCTTTCATATCTTGGATAATACAGTAAATAAAAGATAGCTGCAAATTCTTGGCTACTTTCCCCACTGAGAGGTGGCCCTTAATTCCCTTTTATCTTGGCTGGCCTTAGTGTGTTGCTTGAGTGAGAGGATGCAACACAAGTGATGGAGGTTGGGTAGAAGGCTTCTGGTATCTTGATTTCTTTCTTTCTTTTTTTTTTTTTTTAATGATGAAACGATATACATATATTTAGAATTAGCCAGCTGGACTCAATTTAGATGATCCCAATTTTGTTGGCAACATTCAAAGCATTGTAATCAGGAGCCAGTTGAACATATGCCTTCTCTCCATCAGGCTGAATCAGGGTGTTGACCTTGGCCACATCAATGTCATAGAGCTTCTTCACAGCCTTTTTGATCTGGTGCTTGTTGGCTTTAACATCCACAATGAACCCAGGTGTGTTGTTGTCTTCTGTCTTCTTCATGGTAGATGGAAACTTGATGATAGCATAATGGTCAAGCTTGTTCTCCTGGGGGTGCTCTTCTGAGGATATTTGGGCTGCCTCAGAGTCGCAGTGTCTTGGGCTGCCGGAAGGTGGGTGACCTGTGGATCTCCTTTTTTTTTTTTGTGGCTGTGGACACATTTTAACACTGCCTTCTTGGCCTTTAAAGCCTTCACTTTGGCTTCAGCTTTAGGAGGGGCAGGAGCTTCCTTCTTTGCTTTTGGCACCATCTTGTGAAAAGGGTCCAGGTATCTTGATTTCTTTGGGAGCCCCAAGCCACCAGCCTGGTTTCAAGATGCCTCACTACCTTGAAACCAGGCTGAATCCATGCCAAGGCACAGACATATGAACAAAGCCATGCTGGAACCTCCAGATAAGTCCACTCCCCAAATTGTGTTTTGTTAAAGACCTTTATGTCTATGCCCATGAGGAACATTAGTCTGTAATTTCCTGTTGTCATACCTTTTCCAGGTTTTGGTATTTGGGTTGTGCTGCCCTTAAAATGAGTTGGGAAGTGCTTCCTTCTCTATTTTCTAAAAGATTGAGATTATTTTCTTCTTCATTGTTTGATAGAATCTAGAGTTCTTTTTGGGAATGCTTTTGATTTCAAATTCAATTTCATGAATAGATATATGGTTATTCAAATTTTTCAGTTTCATTTTGTGAGTTTTGGTAAGTTGTATTTTTTTAAGAAATAAGTCCATTTTACCTAAATTGTCCAATTTATTTATATATGCTATTTTATTATTATCATTTTTATAAGTCTAGATTGTGTAACTATAGCAGTTATTTCCTTACTAATGATAGTAAATTTTCGTTTTTTAATGATCTTGCAATTAATGTTTTGTCATTTAATGGTTTATCAATGTAATCTATCAATTTTACTAATCTTTTAAAATAACTTTTTGCTTTTTAGCATTTTGGCTTTTCTCAATTTTCTTTTTGTTTCTCATTACATTATTTTCTCTCCCTACATTTTTCATTTATTCTCTTCTACATAATCTGGGTTTAATTTTCTCTTTTTCTCCTGTCTTTTCAATTGGAAACAGGTAATTTTGAGCCCCCTTTTCTTTTCAAATGTAAGTTTTTAAAAGCTATATATTTCCCTCTAAACAACACTGCCTCAGTAGCATCTGAAAATTTTTGATATGTTGCATTTTCATCATCATTTAAAAATATTTTCCACTTTTTTTTTTCTTTTTTTTTTTTTTT